ATATAGGTTATTGGTGGGAAAGCCAGGAGGAAAGAGACCGCTAGGAAGGCCAAAGACGTAGGTGGGAGGATAATGTTAAAATGAATCTGAGAGAGATAAGGTGGAGTGGTCTGGACTGGATTGATCTGGCTCAGGATAGGGACCATTGGAGGGCTCTTATGAACACGGTAATGAACCATCGGATTCCATAAAATATTGGAAAGTTCTTGAGTAGCTGCATAACTGGCGGCCTCTCAAGAAGGGCTCAGCTCCATGAAGTTAATTTGTTGCAGTGTTAAATGAAACTTGATAACCTTTGTAACAGTAGGTTTGTACGCCTGGAGCACACCTTTCCCCCTCCCCCTTGACTCCACTGATCCATTTTATCATTCATACTCAATGGCTCTTTAGAAAATCGCCCTAAAGGTCACAAATCCATTTCATCGAGTAAAGGTCAAGCGTTCGTGAAGTAGCATGGGTAGAAGAAATTACATTTTAACCTTCAGATTTCATAACCGAATCATAGCCATGTTCATTACTGTTGCATCATGTATACCCGTATACTTGTCACTGGCAATTTATTACCACGCCCCATTCCTTAATTACCAAGTTCAGGGTTTAAGAACGTTAAGGGACTCGAATAAAAACGTAATTTCGCACGTCAGACAGATAGTTTTTTGTCCAGTGAATAAAGATGCTAGAATATTTATTCACTTTCACAAATTTATTTCTCCATTCGTCTTAACTATTTTATGTGCGTAATTTGTAAATATCTGTAATTATGTAAAGTTACTTTAAATTTTTGGCTTGATTCGAACCTGAGACCGCCCGAATACGAGACAGGGATGCTAACCACATAACCGTGACGTTGGGTACAAACTGTTGAAAACTGACAGCACGGTTTCGGTAATGCATTTTATTTCCAAGGACTTAGTCCGTTACGAAGGCCTTTACAAAGTAAACAAGAACACGACCGTGTGAAATTTTTGAGGTTTATGGTCAACAGATTTAATGATCCCAGTCTGTCCTTAAGTAGCGAGTTCTTCCGTAATAGTATGTATTTACATTTTTCATCAGTAACTATTAGGATTCTGCCTTACGATCTCTGCTCGAGTCCTGCGCGTTAGCCCAAGAGTTGAATTGAATATTCTCGTTGGGTTATGAAATACATTTTCAGAATAAGACATTAACACACTTTAGAGGACAGGAAATCTGCAGTGTTCGCGTAGTCTTTATAANCCTTGGATAGAAGGCTGGGTGAAGCCCAGAGCCGGTCTGGACGACGTGGAGAAGAGAAAATTCTTGACTTACCGGGACTCGAACTCCGTCCCCTCTGTCGTCCAGCCCGTAGCCAGTCCCTATACCGACTGAGTTATCCCGGTTTCACAGTCTTTTCGAGTTCTCTCTGGAACTCAACATATTCTTATACTCTATGCATGCCTAAATTATAAGTGACACAGATGTTCTCGTACATGAAGAAAGCGCGTGTACCATAATAGTTTGTGGTTTTAATCGTGTGACGTCATTGGATTTGGTTGGCTATGTCTTCTTGTGCCAACTGTTGTCAAACAAGAAGCAAACAAGACGCCAACCCAGATCGATCTTTTGCCTCTGCTGCTGGACCGTTGACGTCACCTTGCACTCTTATTGATCAAAATGACGGTGAAATTTCTGGTTGCCGTGGCGACCGTCTGGTTGTGTACAGATGTAGTGGGAGGAAGGATAGTGCGACATGTTCGTTGCATATTGGGGAGGGGCTCCTCACTCGATAGAACAGCTATTATTTATATATTCATTCATGTATTTGCGTGCTTATTTATTTATGGTTTAGTTACCGCATTGTCAGTACCGCACATTTATGTAGCAAATTATGGGATTATTATTGCATAATTTATTTGAGGTGTTGTAAAAGGAAGCTGTCATTTAATTTTAGGTACTAACCTGATAATCCTTCCCAGTGCAACATTTGTTATGGAGACAGAATAGGAATGTCTAAATTGTTACTGTAATTTAAACTTGGCCTCTAAACACAAATGCTTTGAATAATTTGTTAAATATTTTCACAAACAAAAAAAAAAATGAAGGCACGCGGTAGCGTAGTGGTTAAGACACTATGCTACAAGCCGGAAGGTCGCGGGTTCACATCCCGATGAGGTCATTGGATTGTTTTTCAATTGACCTAATCCTTCCACCCGCACTAGGCCCGGGGGTTCACTCAGCCTCTAACAGGAGTGAGTACCAGGAATTAATTAAATAATTTTCCTGGGGAGTAAAGCGCGGTCGGCGCGTAAGGCTGACAACCTTACCGCCATCTTTGAGCCGATTGTCTAGATAATGTGGGATCCTCAACGTCTCACAACCCTATGGACCTTCACGGCCTGGTACAGGGATAAAAAAAAGTA